TCGTACCTTGTAATTTTATAAATTACACTTTCATGTCCCCGTTCTCGTCCCCGTATCCTTCCCCCGAATCCATATCAGTGCAACATAGCCTCTCATTGGGTGAAAGCAAATTTCGATGCTAGCTTCAACATTTTATCCAATACTGCCTGGTCAGGTGTCACAATTCGCACCAGTGAAGCCCAAATTATGGGTGCATGTCGTCGGAGAATTCAGAGGGTTACCTCGGCTTTCGCAGCTGAGGCGGTGGCCGCTGTTCATGCAATCGAGCTGTCGGTGGACATGAGTTTTCACCGAGTAATCTTTGAGGGTGACTGTCTCTCTGTGATTTCTAAATTAGCTGATACAGCAAACGATATGTCCATGATTAGTGCCTTCATTTCTGAAGCAAAGGGTCGGGATAGGGAGCTGCATGCATGTTCTTACCATTTCTCTCCGGGCCGCTCACCTGGTAGCTACTGGGGAAGACTTTGGTACAGAGGACCAGTTTTGGGTAGAAGAGGCCCCCCGATCGTGGAAGCGCAATTGGCAGTGGACTCTCGATTTTCTGACCCTCCATAGCTTTTCTTGGTTTGGAGGTTTTGCTGCTCTCTTTGGATCCACGAGCTCTTTGTTTCATTCCTGCGGCGTTCGTTTCATCGCTCTTCATCTGGTTTTTTAGAAGCTGGGTCGAATGGTTGGCTTCTCACTTTGATAAAGTGTCTTTTGAGCTGGTTTTTCACTTTTCCTTCTGGCTTTTGTTTTTCTCGGTTTTTTGCTTTCCACCGACTGTTTAGGGAACTATGTTCTTTGCTTTTGTTTTTGGGGACTGTGTTTTGTACCTTTTATTTTTTTTTATATTGAAGCCAACGGTTCTTTCTAAAAAAAAATTAAATTATTATTATTTTGTGTATGTATATTTACATGTTTAATAAAATATGTCATTTAAAATTCAAAATTTTAAAATTAACAGAGATACATAGTATGGTTCATATTATTAAATTTTTAATTTTATCACTTATAAAATTATATTTTAATTTTTTTCTTTAATTATACCATTATACCACTAAATCATTAACGATACGATAATATGATTAACGACTATATATTATTATAACTGACGATTATCAATGTAGACATTTCATCAAAACGAAATCATTTTGATACATATGTTAACAATATAAAGATCCTATAACATAATTAAAAAATTAAAATTTAATGATATGATTTACCATAAATAAAATAAAAACAGTCTCAGTGGATCTATTTCCCCATGTGCCATGCGCAGTGCAACACAAGATTCCAACTCTTGTTGTCAATACTATAAAAACCAATCTTAAACCCTCAGATCACTCCACTCATCTTCTTACCCACACTCTCCTCGATCTCTCCGCCGTTTCTCATTTCCTTCCTATCGTATCTCAACATCCTCTCTAATGGCATCCATGGCTGTCTCATTGATCACCATGCAACCTCGCAACACCCTTGTACTTCTTCTCTCTTCTTTCTTTGTAGCTACTAACTCGTTTATTACTCTTATTCTTTGTTATTTGTTTGTTTGTTGGGTATTTTTTTTGCTCGATCTGGTTGTTGTTCAGTTGATCTGTTTTCTGATTTTATTTTTTTATGGATTTTAGTCTAATGCTGGGATTATTGCTGTTACTGAGGCTTTGCTGTTCATTTTTTTAGTTCAACTTCCATCATGGATGATTTGATCGGGTTAATCTGGGATTTGAAATTTCCTTATTTTTGTTTTGTTCTATTATCTTTTTTTGGATTTTTTCTTTCGTTTTTTTTCTTTGATTTTATTGGGATGCAAGTAATTAATTTTTTTTAATTCTAATTGTTATCGAGAACATAAGAAATGTTTTCACTTGCATGTATAATAAAGGATTTATGCTGATTTGGTGTTGCGTTTTGGTTAGTCGTTCTTCCATAGTCAATTCTGTTCTTGGGTAGAGAGTAAAAAGCAACTAACCGAAAGGAGATCTGTGTTTTGCATCTCAATAAGTTGTTCTAGGGAGGAAAACAATAGATTCTGGGTATAATTCCCTTTTAAGAAAGTTTGCGGTATTGAATTTTTGCTTTTTTCTGGACATGATATTTTATGGAATTATTGCGATAATAACATGGAACATCACATACGAATGACATAATATATGGTAAAGATGGAAACTTCAGTACCATGAGAATTCTCGTATGGTGACATATGACTTTAGTAGAAAGATATTTCTAGTGCTTATGAAATATTATTAGTACATATGGACTTGGGATTGATGTGCAAAAGTAAAGTTTCTGTTTTGCTTGGAATAAGGTGTTGATCTACCTTGGAAGATTGTTGTTTCTTCCAGAACTATTCTTTTTATGTAAATTATTTGCTGATTTTTATGCTGTTGAACGTCTTTTGACAGGCTTCAAGCAGGGTTTCTGGGTTGAAATTGGGTTCTGGGTTGAAATTGGGTTCATTTATGAAGCAGGGAAGAAGCAGCCTCTCATTTACAATGCGCCCAATGCCTGCTCGCTTGCAGATTAGCTGTGCTGTATGTTTCTCACTGAATACAATGATATTAGTTTCTGTAGTACTTCCTATTGTAGATGTGGTAGTGATCATGAGAATACACTTCCCCTATTACAATATATATATATATATATATATATATATACTTCAATTGGAGTTTCAAAAAAATATCATTAAACTGTATGTTTTCTCTGTCATACTTATCATGCCTACATGAGTATTAAAATAATGTCATCTTCTCTGTCATATGAAGGGTTTGCTGTAAATATCCTAGTCATGGTCCATAGATTTATGCAGAAATGACAGTTATACTGATGATGAACAACATAAAGATGACGCCCTGAGCTAAATGTCATTGTACAGGCCAAAAAAGAGACTCTGGATAAAGTTTGTGAAGTAGTAAGGAAACAACTAGCTGTAGAAGATGACAAACCAATCACCGGCGAATCGACATTTCTTGATCTTGGAGCTGATTCTCTCGATACGGTACTCTCCTATCTCTTTAACCCTTTGACGTTCTTTCCTCGATTTAATCTTATACAAATAAACGTAGTGTGCAAAATCAAGGGGAGCACGAATTTGTTAAATTAGTGTTTTTTTTAACTTGAAAAAGCATTACTTGTAGTTTGTGTTATAATAGTTAGAACACCATTTCAGGTTGAGATTGTGATGGGACTGGAGGAAGAATTTGGAATCACTGTCGAAGAAGACAATGCACAGAGCATCACAACTGTTCAAGATGCTGCAGATCTCATTGAGGACCTCTGCAGCAAGAAGAGTGCCTAGAAAACTAGTTAAGTCGGACAGTTCGAATGCCGATGTTTGATGTCTTTTCTTGTGTGAACTTTCATGTCCAATATGTAGGAAAACTCGTAATAAAGTTGTTGGGATTATTGGTAATGAATTTATATTTGTGTCGCTTTTTTAGTTTTTTATTTAGAGCTTCTTGCTTGTTGCAAGCTATGAGGGATTGAGTTAAAGAAACCGCAGCTGTTTCTTTAACTCCGCCGATGATTTCCCCTCCCGAACCCATGATTGAAAGGAAGCTTTTAAGCCTGAAATTAGTTGGAAAATAATTTTGAAAGCATAACTTTGCTTATTACTAGGAAGCAACTCAATTGCAGCTAAAGTCAAAGTTACTGATATCACCACCGCAGATGTTTCAGTTAGTGATCGATGCTTGCTGGATGCAAGCTTTGTAACAACCATCAAGAGGGATTCCACTAAGATCTAAGTTCCTTTCAAATGCTTCAGCTGGCTAGTGTGGCAATTGTTTGTTTAATTTGCCTTGGAGATTTTTATGGGAGAGATTAAGCTTCTCAAAGCTGCTCATGTCACCAATTTGAGGGACTTATGAGTTGACTGTGAGAAAGATGAAGCCCTTTAAACTCGGATAGCATTCCGATAGAAGGTGGTGAGGTTTAGAATGCATTCCCATATAGATTGCTTAGTTTGCCTATGGTTGAAGGAATGGGTTGCCGGGGAGGTTGAGTAGTTTAGGAGACAAAAAATTGCCAATTTCACCAGGGTGAGTTCCATCGAGCGAGTTGCCATGAAGGTGCAGTACCAAAAGCTTGGAAGAATTGAAAAGTTGTCAAGAAGAGCATCGAAAAAATGATTGGATGAGAGTCTAAGCTCTCCAAGTCTCATTCCTTGAAATGTTGAAGAGCCTCGAAAAAAAAATGAAATGTTGAAGGTTCAACTGTGAGGTACAAAACAAGTATTCACTTATGGACTACCAGGAGACATTTGCCCCTGTTGCTAAGCTGAATACTATGCAAAACCTATCGTCTTGTGCAACCAACTTTGATTGGTTAAAATAATTTAGATACCTAGAAAAAATCTGCCAGATAAAGTACGTAGTGAAGGGTTTTTTTTTTTTGACCATGAAGAAGATTCAAAGCAACACAAATATGTTGCAGTACAACCTGTAATGATTTTTCCTGTTCTTTGAAAGAAGCCTCAGAGAAGAACAGAATATAATACATAGGAATATATTTATTTATTTGAAAGAAATGTCTCATTAAAAATCCCTTCTAGTCCTATGAGGGGAAAAGAGTGCCCAACAGATAACATTGGAATTTATAAATACTGTAGGATATTAAAAATTAAAAGTTACAAACCAAAACATATAGTCATTAAGCAAGAGTTTGACAATGGAAAGCTCCCTAAAAAAGTAGCAGTTCATAAGCTTAGTGGCAAATCCGTGAAGCCGTCTGAATCCGAGACCACGAAAGTTTTAAGGGTTTTATCTTCTTCCTCCTCTGGTTCCATTTCTAAGTCTATATTTTTGCAGCAGGATACACATAGGTCTTCTAATTTAGTTAGAAATTTCAGGCTCCTTGGCAACGAAACAAGTTTAGGACAACCATCCAGAACAAGTCTTCGAAGTGATGTGAGATGCTGCATTCCTTCAAATAAGCATTCTAAATTGTCACATTCATAAAAGGCAAGGTGTTGAAGCGAAGTCCAACATCCTGCTCAAATCTCTTTCAAATGCGAAGCTTTAATAGTTATTTCTAAATATCGAAGCACAGACAAACTTTCCATGTTTTTGCATTAAAGGAACACTCCTCGTTCTCAATGCTTGCAAGCTCCGAAGCTGATCGAAAGATCTCGAAAGTTTTCGAATATTACGGCCATTGGTCAAGTCGAGGTCTCGTAAGTGCTTCAAGGTGCCGATGGAATCAGGTAAAACTGTCAAATATGAATCACATAAACGTAGTACTCGAAGATACTTGAATTTTGAGATACAGAGATTTATAAGAGAATCCTCTATAACCTCCCAGATGATAACTGTTCGAACATTTTTCGATTTCTTCAAGCGTGGAACTTTTAGCAGCTTCTCATCGATAAATGATAAATGTCGTACATTTATATCAACAAGCTCTGTTGGGGAATTCACCGTTTTGCACTCTCTTTGTGATACATCCAGTGCAAGATCATGTATCAAACCATGCATTTTGAAGGTAGAATACATGCCATAATCCTTCTCTTTTTGGATGAGGCACCTTGACCGTAACTCGTCTAAATGCCGATCACCGACAGCCTCCCACTCTTGATTTTGCTTTGGATGCTCAAGTAATCCATTTGCCATCCAAAATATGATGACTTCATTACTGTTATAGATCTCATCCTTTCTATTTAAGGACAAAAAAGCAAGACATCGTTGCAAATAAGATGGCAAATGATTATAACTCAACTTCAACACCGGTAAGATATCGTTCTTGCTTTGCTCGAGTCTCCATATTTCACTATCTCTTATAGAAATCCATTCGGATGCATCAGTTTTCGAAAACAGTAGGCTTCCCAATGTTCTCACTGCCAATGGAACCCCTTTGCATTTCTTCACCATTTCCTCCCCGATTCTCATGAGATTAGGATACCGGCTCTCATCACCGTCGTTGAAAGCCCATTTTGTAAACAAAGTCAAACATTCTTCAAGAGGGAGACCTTTCAATTCATAAGGACGAGTTGAACTAATTATCGAGGCAACCTTCAAGCTCCGAGTAGTCACAATGATCTTACTTTCGGATAAATCACCCCTTGATCTTAATAAATCCCTTAACTCAATCCATTTAACACGATTTTCATTCCACACGTCATCTAGAACCAGCAAAAACTTCTCATCATGCAAAAGATTTCTCAAACAAGTATGCAAGGCTTGGACTGTTAAATCATCACATCTTTCTCCTTTACTTATAGATTGAATGATCATCTTGAGGAATCTAACAGATCCATATCTTCAATGGTAAAGATTTGGCAACTCCATAATCATTATAAACCAATTTGAGTAAGTGTTGTTTTCCCTAGACCCCCAATTCCAACAATGGGAATGATAGGGATGTTCCCATCCTCACTGGGTTTCATCAAGAGATCAATCATGTTCTCTTTATCCACATCTCTACCAATAACATTCGAAGAGTGAATGAAAGAGTGGGTCTGTCGGTGTTGAGATACTTAAGGTAGCTAGGGTTGTTGTGCATATGATAGAGCAGTTCATGCATGTTATGCATGGGAGCTGGAATGTAGCTGATGCATGTAGTTAGTATACATGTCAAGTCTGTTAGGAAAGAGTTTCTAGAAGCTGTTAGTTTGTTAAAGGTTGTTGTGAATTAGCTATAAGTAAGTAGCTTAGGTGATGAGTAAAAGAAGTAAGCTTAATGAAAATATTTCTGATATTCTTCTTGCGTAGTTCAAGTTTTGCTTACTGCAATGCTTAACATGGTATCATTCGCTGGTTGTTCCTGAGATTGCTTCTGTGTGCTACGCTATTCTCGTGTCCATGGAGTTCTCAGCAGGAAAAACCTTCACAAACAAGAAGGTTAACATCATACTCGATGAGTCAAACTTTCTCCTCTAGAAGCAGCAAATGTTGCTGACCGTTTTGTAGTCATCGACTGGAACGGTTGCTAACGGGAGCCGCCTCACCTCCTTCTGCAACGGTGGTGAACGAGCATGGTGACTTGGTTTCGAATGTATGAATAGTATGTTGCACAAGACAGTGCACTAGCTTTTTGGCTACTGTCCATGATCAACCCTCATTTGTTATCCCAGTTCGTTGGAGCGGAGACGGCAGCGGCGGTCTGGAGTACGGTGTTACAGTTCTTTGTGAATTGGTCTACCACGGCGGTTATCAGTCTTCATTAAAGGCTTCAGTCACTCAAAAAAGGGAATAATAGCATACGCACATAACTTACTCGCTTCAAAGAAATCTGTGATGCATTAGATTCGTGCGATAATGCTATTCCTCAGGCCGAGCATGTTGCTAGCATATTGAAAGGCCTTCTACGAGAATATCAGCCATACATTGCGTTCATAACCACCATGAAAGATGCATTGTCTCTTGACAAGATCTTCTCGATGTTGATCGATGCAGAGACACAGCTTGCTGGGTTTGATTCCCGAGAAGATTCTCTCTCGATGAGCGCTCATGTAGTTCAGTCTAGCCCTGGCTTGAAAACTGTCGGTCATGGCTTCCATGATCGTATTTCTGGGCGATCTGGGTCTAGTACTGCAAGTCGAGGTGGAGGACGTGGTCGTGGCCGACCACGTTTTCAGTGCCAGTTGCATGGAAAAAATGGCCACTTGGTTGTTGATTGTTGGGACAGGTTCGATCAAACCTTTACTGGTCGGTCGGTGGATCGTGTTATGGCTCGTGGTGAGTCAGGCTCTGCTAACTACTCCGGTTTTGAGACAGATTCTGTTGGTGAGGATGATTGTGCGTACTGCATAAAAACTCATGCTGAGGCCCAGGTCTGCCATTCCTCACAGCCTCATAGTCGTGTTGCTACCACTACAAGGATCATTGGGTGGTTGACACCGAGGCTACACATCATGTAACCTCTGATTCAGCTAAGGTGCTTAATCAAACGGATCTCTCAGGAATAGGTAAAATTGTTGTTGGCAGTGGAGATTTACTTTCTATTTGAGCTATTGGTAAAACTACTTTATGTTCTTCTTCTCGAGCTTTGATGTTGAATGATCTGCTTCATGTTCCCAAGATAACTAAAAATCTTCTATCGGTCTCGAAACCTGCTAGGGACAATGGGGTATACTTTGAGTTTCATGCATCCCACTGATGTGTTCGTTATAAAGGCACTGGTGAAGTGTTGCTGCAAGGACAAGAGAAGGATAATCTATATCTGTTCCAAGTAGATTATATAAAAAATACGAGTGCTTTCTTTGAAGCTAATAGTGTTGTTGTTTCACATTATCTGTACGATTTGTGGCATAGACGCCTTGGGCATCCTGCACAGGGAACCCTTGGGCAAATATGCAAACTAATTGATGTAAATGTTAAGGAAAATGTTAATAGGATTTGTGTTGCTTGTCATATGTGAAAAACCATAAACTTTCATTTTCTAATTCATCCACTGTATAAGAGTTGCCTTTCCATCTTGTATTTACATATTTATGGGGACTGTCACCTGTTGTTTCTAATGGCTATAGGTATTATGTTAGTTTTGTATATGCTTGCACTAGACACACGTGGTTATATATTCTTATAGATAAGTCCCAAGTTACTTATGCATTTCAATTATTTCAACAGCTTGTGACAACACAATTTGGACTGAAAATTTTGGTTGTTCAGAGTGATTGGGGAGGTGAATATCGTCGGTTGTCTCGAGTTCTTGTTGAAGTTGGCATCTCTCATCATGTTACATGTCCACACACGTCAGAACAAAATAGTGTAGTGGAACGTAAACATAGGCACGTCAGAACAAATTTTGGTTGCTCAGGCCTCCATGCCAACTAGTTACTGGTCGTATGCGGTAGTTATGGATGTGCATTTGATCAACATACTTCCCTCCAGGGTATTAACTGGATGATCCTCTTTTTAGTGCATGTTCAACTAGTAGTCTGATTATGGATCGCTTAGGGTATTTGGGTGTCGATGTTTCCCTCATTTAAGACCATTCAATGCTCATAAGCTAGATTTTTGATCTCAGCCATGCACGTTCTTGGGTATCAGTTCTCAACACAAAGGTTTTCTTTGTCTAATGCCTGATAAGCATGTCAATGTCTCTCGTCATGTGAAGTTCGATGAGTGGACTTTTCCATTTGCTGGTGATAATCCTGTCAAACAGTCATCATTCGAGTTGCCTTTGAGCAGGTCTCTTGATATAGTAATGGATGTCAATAAACTGCATACTAGTGGTGTTCAAGTGCCAGATGTTCCTCAACTGCCTGTAGATACTCCTGGTCACTGCACTGCACGATCAATGTCAGATACTGAATCTACTGCTATGACTGAGGTTCCAAGTATTTGTTAATGGAGATCCTGAAATTACTGAGGACACTCAGTCAATGCCTGATGACAGAACATGAACGATAATTAGTAATGCTCATCCTATGCTGACTCGAAGTAAGTGTGGCGTATTTAAACCAAAAGTGTATACTACGTTCTTTGATGACATTGTACCAACCACAATTAAAGAGGCTCTTCAGTCAGCTCCATGGACTGAAGCAGTTCATGCTGAATATTCAGCACTACTTGAAAATGACACATGGGTGCTTGTTTCCTTACCTGCTGACAGAAATGTGGTGGGGTGAAAGTGGTTATTTAAGCTCAAACGCAACCTTGATGGGTATGTGCTTAGATACAAAGCTCGATTAGTTACAAAAGGGTTCATACAAGTCCCTGGCCTTGATTTCCAGAATACGTTTAGCCCATTTGTGAAATTCTCAATAGTGTATGTGTTTTTAACCATGGCTATTGCTCGAGGATGGGTCTTGAGATAGGTTGATATCAATAATGCTTTCTTAAATGGTGATTTGCTTGAAGACGTATATATACAGCACCCGCCAAGATTTGAACAGTGTGCTTCAGATGGTACTCCATTGGTATGTAAGTTACAAAAGGCGCTATACGGTCTTCGCCAAGCACGACGCAATTGGAATAACAAACTTAAAACCAGTGTGTTTGAGCTAGAGTTTGTTGAATCCAAGGCAGATGTGTCACTATTTGTTAGGATTCAAGATGATTGTTGTACGCATATTTTAGTGTATGTAAATGACATTATAATCATAGGAACATCTGCTGACGCTGTTAATCAGGTCATTCATATGCCTAGTACTCATTTTTGCCTTAAAGATCTAGGTGAGCTGTCATATTTTATGGGGATAGAAGTTAAGAAAATTGGCACTGGTTTGGTGCTGCGTCAGCGAGCTTATATTTGCGAGTTGTTGAAGAAAACTAATATGAGTCAAGTAGCACTTGTGTGTATTTTGATGGTTGCTGCTGATCAAAGTAGTAATCTACTAGCCAATGCTCGAGAGTATCACAATATTGTGGGGGCTCTCTTATATGTTTGCCATACTCGACCGGATATAGCGTTTGCAGTCAATAAAGCAGCCCAGTTCATGCAGTCTCCACGAGAAATACATTTGGTAACAGTCAAATGCATCATGCGTTATTTGGCAAGATCACTGGACTATGGGTTGGCGTTTTCAAACAGTGATGCTAGGCTGTGTCTCAAAGCCTTTTCTGATGCAGACTGGGCTGGTGATGCTAGTGATCGTCAGTCCATGTCTGGGTATTGTGTTTTTCTTGGAGGATGTTTGGTTGCATGGAATTCCAAGAAACAAAAGATAGTCTCTTGGTCGACAATGGAGGCTGAGTACAAAAGTGTTGCTGACTCAGCTGCAAAAGTTACTTGGCTTGCTGAATTGGTTTGTGATCTTAGGTTGTCATTGCATGATGCAACTGTTATTTGGTGCGACAACACAAGTGTTGTTGCCTTGAGTGTAAATCCAGTATGCCATGCTCGGTCCAAACATGTTGAACTGGATGTCCATTTTGTCCGAGAGAAGATTATAACTTGTCATCTTCGAGTCAGCTATGTCCCTGCTGCATTTCAAGTGGCTGATGGTCTAACCAAGCCACTGACCAGACCAATGTTTGAGCAGTTTCGAGAAAAGCTGCGAGTACTGTCTTGTTAAGGAAGGGAAGAAGAATAAGCGGAGAGAATGTTGAGATACTTAAGGTAGCTAGGGTTGTTGTGCACATGATAGAGCAGTTCATGCATGCTATGCATGGGAGCTGGAATGTAGCTGATGCATGTAGTTAGTATACATGTCAAGTCTGTTAGGAAACGGTTTCTAGAAGCTGTTAGTTTGTTAAATGTTGTTGTGAATTAGCTATAAGTAAGTAGCTTAGGTGATGTGTAAAGGAAGTAAGCTTAATGAAAATATTTCTGATATTCTTCTTGCGTA